AAATCCTGCATGAACTCTACATCGGTTCCATATTCATTAAGGCCACAAGATACTCCACTACCTGTTGAACCATTTGCAACACTGGGATCCACTTTAAAGGGCTCATCTTGCCATGATGAGCTAAAGATATTGTCATCCACATTACTAGATCCTTCTGCAGCTGCGGACCTATATTCCATGATATAATCTTCCTCAGAGAAAAAATTGATATCAGGCATTGAAGGATGCTTTTCCTTCTTTGGAGTTGCTGTGAGCATGACCTTGGCTAGATGATCATCCTGTGATTGAAAAGAATAGTCGGTATGATGACCAAATTCAATCTCAATATGTTGCTTCTGGAAGTCGTCTAAGTCCTCGGTATTTTCATGCAAGTATCCATATGACATTCTGACATGCCTCCTCTGAGATGTATGGCTGTCCTCTTTAATTAACATCTCCATAAGGTCAGGAGAAGCCTGATAAATTTGTAACCTGCTCCTCCTTTTCCCAAATTTAGAGAGTTCTGACAAATCTCCATGAAGTAAATCTAGCAACCAAAGAAAAAGGATATGAGCCCAGGAAACTGAAATGAAATCGCTAAAATGAAATCGCAGAAACTGATAGTCAGTTTGAATTTTTTTGGGGTCAAGAATCAGATTGATTGCAGTTCAGTGTCAAATGAAAATGTTCATAAAATTTGTTTCTTAATTTGTCTCAAGATACAATGTTGTCACCTTTCTTCCGCATTTGATCTTCTCCAACCATATCAGCTCCATGACAACCAGATTCTCCTAGAAATATCCCAGAGGTTAATACACTTCTACAAATCACTGTACCAAACTAGTGATTCATTAATATGTCTTCACACCAGAAAAAAAAGAGTAAATGAAGCTCTCAGAAACAAGCCATGGGAAAAGGTATACCATCAGATATCTTTTCCTTCCAGAAGTTCTGGATGGCCTTATCAATAAAGGTGAGTACACGAACCCAATCCTGGCCAATGTGCGAGAGAGAGAGAGAGAGAGAGAGAGAGAGAGAGAGAGAATAAGAAGAAGAAGAAGTGTTTAGTAATTGTAAACACATAGGTAAATATTATTACAGTAAGTCGATGTTTAACATGATGTTAGAGTTGCATATCATATATGATAAGTGGATCACAATCTACAGTCAAATAAGAAAGTTTACCTTGAACTCAACATATGTTTTTGATGGCTCAAAGGTTAAATCATAGAATGATCTAGGACAGCTTAAATTCAAAAAATAAGCGGGGAGTGACTGAGGCCTACTTCGTTTCCTGTTTTGGGACAGATCAACGTCCTTCCCCGGATCCCAGCATTCAAAATTACTGGCCAATTGATTAAGCAATTTATGAATTGGCCCTTTGCAAATGAACCTTGAGTTAATATCTGTCAGCGTCAAGGTCAAGAACAAAAGAATAAAATGTAAATCCTCCTTCTATAAGTTGATAAATAACTCCAACATACAGACATGGATACAGACATATTGGAAGGCCTGCAAAATAAATGTTTCAAAAATAAGAAACAAAGATCCTAATAATAGAAAAAAATTAGAAATCAGCTACATTGTGTACATAAATCCTTCTACCTTAATGGCGGGACTATTGCAAGGACTAGATATGTATCCAGAAAGCTCTATTTTGCCATCACTTATGTTCAATTCATGAAGAGCAGTGGAGACCTCAATCCCAACAGTCCCTTTCAATAGTGCCAAGGGAGAGGGAGAAGAAATTGTACGAAGAAGCTCATCCTCACTACAAATAGAATGAAATATGTAATTAAACCTATAAAGAAATAAAGAACAACCATACATTCTTCAATTAAAAATGTGTTTAGAAGACACCTTTCAATGTCGATGAGTTTGAAAGAAACCTTTGAGTGCACAAGGGCAATCCGATGTACACATTTGATGACAGCATGCAATACCTTCTTGGGGCTTCCAGTTTGTAACACAAATCACAAAGCAGATCAAGTCAGTTTAATGCATTGCACCATCTTGTTTGAGGCTGCTGAGGACAATCCCATAGAAACCACATAAAAACAAAATGATCCAGAATGGTACCTGGATTGCATGTACTTCCTCCGAACTGGTTGATTGTAAAACAAATCACGAACAACAACTGCAAGAAGAACCAAGTGATTAATCAAAAGCTATAAATGGAATTTATTCAGGGAAAATTCCAATAAGCATCTATTTGGGGCAATGTAATGGAAATGACCCATCAAAGGTAATTTTCTGGTGGGTAACCTTACTTGACATCCATTTCCATAAACAAAGATGCAATATGAGACAACTTGACAAGCTTCAATAGAAACAATAAGAATCGTAATAGGTCCCTACCTGTAGTGCCCACATCCTTCCTATCATCATCTATTCCAAGATACAAACATTTGCATCCCTAAGAAAAATAGAGGGAAAGTCAACCAGAGCCAAACTTGCATAAAGCCTTAAAAGCAATTCTGTTATGAACAACAAATTCAAAGGAGCAATGAACCCAAACCTTCATGACTTTGCGATACCCATTTGGCCTCCCAGAAGCTTTTGTTAAGATTTCTAACAATGACACGTCGGAAATGGAAGCCAATGCTTCTCCTCGAAAACCAAAGCTCCCACGTGCAGAATCCATCTCAGAAGAATGATCAAACTTTGATGTCGCTGCTTACAATAAATAAAGAACAATTATTCCATCAACAGATACCAAATTCACAAAATATACACCAATATAAGTCAAGCATCTATATTCAAAACTAGCATTTTAATTTCAACTGCAGTCTAAAATCACTGACTACAAAACATTATAAGGGAAAATGATAACTTTACCATATCTTTCTCCGACCAACACCAATCCATCACGCGTAATCCCAAATCCTACAAGTAACATTAAAGGAACATAAATAAGGCATGAAACCTAAATATTCCTCAGAGTTATAACCAAATGAAGGAGATTAGTGCTAACCATCATCCACTACTTTCACATAGCATGTCCCAACACCTACGAAAACCGATACCTGAAACCACAAAAAATGTGATTAAACATTGTTACTCTCATCACTAGTTATTGCGATTTCCACACATGTCTACACCACCAATACAATAATGCAAAGTTAAATATGACAGTCTTGCTTAATGCCCAAACTAAATTAAATGGCAAAAAGTAATTACCTTTGTTGCGCCAGCATCCAAACTATTGTAGACCAACTCCTCCACAACGCTCGTCAAGTCATACAGGATAACTCCGGAGCGCATCGAACTACAAGCTGCCTCCGGCAAGGGCTTCACGCCCCTCATCATTTCCTGCAATGCCGATAATTTCTAACCATATAACTCAGAGCAAACGAAATTTTTTACCTTCTTCTATTTTCCTACACTTTCTCGTAAACCAAACAAAAAAATGAAAATGTTCGTGTTGTGCAATTCGAAAAGCTAAAGTAAATGTAACATCGAATTGAAATGCTGTTATCGCTTACCTGAGGGTACCAATTTGATTAGGGTTTTCCGGTTAGGGGTTTAGGGCTTTGCCAAGACGACGACGTTCCGCCGAATCAGACAACAATTCGGAGCTCCGACTTCGCCGGTTTTCAAAGAGAAGGAAAAAAGGCGGGGTCGGCTTCAGACTCCAGTTTCAACTGAACTTGTATTTTAACTGCCGCTTGCGCGAGTGTCGAGAGGCGTGAGATTGAGTGGGCTTTGATAAAGTCACAAGCCTCTGGATTCGGTGACTCACAGCTGAGACGTCAGTGGCCCGATCCTTGAAACCCTAACACGTCGTACTTGGGACGATGTATATCCGCTTTTATCTTTTGACGGCTGTGTCTCTGAATTCTGATTGGCTGCGGAGCCACATGTCAAAGTTCCCCGCGGGTAATTTGATTTCAGTAGTCGTTATCCATTTTACTTCACTTATTAATGACGTATAGGAGGCATGTCCAGACGTCCTCTTGAGTAATTACGATTCTACCCAAGAGGAAAATAATTTACTTATCTCAGCTTGGTCATGAAGATCAAAGCTCAAACACACTTTCACCATTGGGGGGTGTCCAAAACAAACTTAATATTGACATAGTAGTTTTTATTATTATAAATTTAATATGAAAAAGTGCATCTTAAATCAGAATTTTATTAAACAACCAATTATAATACTATAAGATATATAAAAAAAATTCGGTGATAAAATCCGTCGCAGATTTTCTTTGTAAATTTTTTATCTTAAAAAAAAGTCCTAACATTTGGACACAAATTTATATAATTGTAATAGATGACATGTTGGAAAGTTAAAAAGGAGGTGAGTGATGAGTAATTTGCTTAACATAACATGCTCAAGTGTTAGTAAGTTAGTGTCCAATGCTCATAATTTGGACAAAACTTTAATTGAAATGATTCAATTCAACATTTACATACACACAAAAAACAATCATAGAGCCTCTCCTCCTCTTAGGAAGGGTTATGCACACAAATGCGATATGCATGGAGAAAATATATCAACATGAAATCAATAGTGGGCCATAATTAATTTAAAATTTTATATGCCTTACATCAATTAATCCTCACTAATCAATTAGTGTAGCGGTTTGGCGCAATTGCTTTCTCAAGAAAGGTCATGGGTTCGAGTCCTAGTATATGTGTAGTGTGTGTGAGTTTAATATGTTATCGCCGCTCTCAATAAGAAAGGTCTTCAAAAAAAATAAAAAACCTCACTAATCCATTAAATGTCCAACCAAGTCCAACCCTAATTACCTAATAAGCAAGCAGCCCCCATTTGGTTAATCTTTATCAATTCACATTTCTTAAGGAATATAAATAATTGATTTAAACAATAGCATGACATTCATAAATTAGTTAATATTTAAAGGTAGGGATAAATAAATAAATAAAAATTGAACGGACTGAATTGCAGTAGCATGAATGCGTGCATGAACATGATGATGCCATGGTGGCAAAAACGTAGTTTGATGAGAAAGAGAGTGAATGGGTAAAAAATAAAAATGGTGGGTTTTTTGTGGGATTTGGGTCTTGGGGTTCTAGAACCAGTACCAGAACCAATCGAAATTCTGTCCTTAACTCAAAATAATATATAAAGGGCACAAACAACATCTTCCATTTTTCTTTCACCACCCTGATTTTTCTTCCTCTCCTCTCTCTCTCTCTCTCTCTCTCTGAAAACCCTAATTACAGCTGTGCCGTTTATCTCTCTCCTTGTCTCAACGGAGACAAATTTAGCAATAAGATCAGGTATTTTTTTGCTTACCCTTCATCTCTGTTTTGATCGTTGTATTGAATTTTGCAGAATTATCGGTAATGACGCTGAAACTTGCATTGATTTGTTGAATTCTGATGAATTGAGCTTGTAGCATTATGGATTGGTTTTGATTCTCATTCGTTTGATTGTCTGCTTCCGATCTTGTTTGATGAATTCAGATTGGTCTTTGAATTCTGTTGTGCTTGTGATGCTTGTAATTCAGTTGTGTTGTTTTTGTTGTTGTTGTTGTTGAATTATTGGATTTTGTTGATGAAGCTTTGTTTGCTTCCTGGTAAGAGTTTGACGGTTGGATAAAGGGAAGATAATTTGCGGTTTTCTGCTGTTCGTTCATTTTTTTAAGTTACTTGGATGATTGAGGAAGAAGAAAAGAAACTCAATTTAGCTATGTAATTACCTGGGATTTAGTTAAGCTTGTTTTTTTTTTTTTTTAAGGTTTTATTAGAAATTGAAGGCATCCAAACCTGGATGTGAAGTTCTCGTCTTTCCATCTGGGTTCTGTGTATGGTGATCCAATATTAAGAATGGTTGAATTGATTTTGGATTTTGGATTTTGTATGCCACAAAATTATGGGTTTACCTAATCATCTGTATTCATGCATATGAAGTTCTTGCCTTTTTATCCAAAACTGATGCTTAACGTTAATTCTTATTGTTTTGCAGATGGAGTGGTCATTCTCTCTGTGTGCAGAGTAATTGTCATTTCAGTGTAAAAGGGTATATCGGAAGCAGACCAATGGAGGCTAACATATGTGATGTCAATCATTTGGATGCCGATGTCTTATTGCCTCCACGAAAGCGTCTGCTTGCTGGATTGAAGAAACAGAGTCCGGATGGTGATGGATCTTCATGGCTGTCTCTAGTTGCTTCTTCAGCTTCAGCATCAGCTTCGGCATCTGCATCTTCCTCTTCATCGCCTTCTTCAAGTGAATTTAACACACGTCTTAACAATATATTGAGTTCTCATAACCCTAACCTTTCACCTGAGGAGCTGGTAGAGATCTCAAATTTAGCTGCTGCTGCTGCAGCTAAGGCTGCAGAGGATGCAAGAGCTGCAGCTGAAGAGAAAGCTGGCATAGCTGCAAAGGCTGTGGCTGCAGCCAAGAGTGCTTTAGAATTGGTTGCCTCTTTTTCTGAAGATGTAGGCTGCAAGGAAAAATACCTGAAAAAGAACAAGCTCAAGAAGCATGTTCCAGTTCAGCTTTTGTACAAAAAATACCAACCAATTGAGAATTGCAAGAAAGATGAAGAGTTGGCCCGAAAGTTGCATAGAGCTATAAATAGCTCACCGAGAATCTCAAAGAATTCATCAAGTACTGACTCGAAAGGTCATAAACACAAGAAGCCTAAAATCATGCACAGTTCTGAGAAAGTTAGGGTTTCCAATGGGGGTATTGAGTTGGAACAAAACCCTGAACCTGCTTGCAATGGACATGCAGTAGCAGGTAAGGTCAATGTTGAAGGCACCATTCTAGAGTTGTACAAAAACAAAGCCGAAGAAAAAGCTTATAGACATGATAAAGCTGGTCGATTGGAGATGGATAATGGGGAAGCAGAATCAAGTCAGATGAAGGAAAAAAGTTGGGATGATGTGTGTACTAGTGGTAAAAAGAGGGGAAGGGTGAAGCTAAAAAAGTTGCCTTTAAGCATTTGCACCTTCAGGGATCAAGCAAATCCCAAAGAAGAAATGGATGCAAGAGGCTCTCCATTGACTGTCGTGAACAGGGGCAATCCTACTGCTGGAAAGAAGCCTTTGTTTCCTGTGGAGTCTTCTGCTGATAGTATGCTGCCAATTGAGGCCACACCAGTGTGGAAATACCAGGATTTCAAGGCGCCTGCGTGTGTGAAACAAAATAAAGTCATGCAGTCATAATATTGCTGAATTGATATTTTGTGACAGGTGGCTATAAGATAGAATGGGATAGCTGAGGTAGGATTCACGATGTTCTTCGCTTCTTATAGAAACGGCCCTTATTTTGATTTATCTTTTTGCTCCTTTTGGTTTTGTAATGAACTTGGAACTGACTACATGTAAATTTAGATGTTAAATTGCTGCTTGCGTCCGTGCTTTACAGTCCAAATTGCCTGTTGCTCTTTTGACAGCAAAGCTTGAAGTTGAGAAACAACAGGGGTTTCCATTAGATTGGTTAGTCTTTTGTTGATATGTTGCACAATAATTCCTGCTGGTGTGCTGATGATAGATGTACAAACATTGTCAATGTCTTTGGTAATCATATTCTTTTGGAAATTCATTCATTCTTTTTTCCTTTTCCGATTTCCTTTTGCTTTGAAATTCTTCTGGTATGAGATTATGGTTTCACTTGTTAGCACTTTAAACAAATTCAGAGCTCTGCTTCTGGAAGTGATCGAAGAATTTCTCAGGAACCCTATAAGATCCGTTCGTTCTTTTTCGCACCTCGGACAGATGATCAGAACTTTATCTGGGATGAAGTCCATAAATATTTCTCTATTAAATGAACCAAGCCTGTTTGGTTTGCTCGATGAATTCATTTTGAGGCAACAAATTTGATGAGTTTGTGAAACCTTGTATTACAATAAATTGATGACAAAGAGTAGAACCCTTGATGTTTGGTACTTAGGTTTTGAAGATGTTTTTGAAGATCCGATCTTGGAGATGCTGCCAGGGTGCCAGCAAAATATTATATAAAACTGTCAAAAACTTTGCTTCTGCTGACGCTTTTAAGGAATTTTTAAGCTTTCAGGGCCAAATACTAATTGGAAATTTGGAACCCACATTAGCCGACCGTGGGTGAAAAGTACATAGTAAAATACTCTTTTCAACGTCTTTGACATAAATTTGAGTTTTTTTTTTTCTTTTATCTTTTTGATTGTTGTTAAATCTACTGCTGGAGTCAACTCAACCAACCAAAACTAACCTTCAAGAGAGAACTAAAATACCTCTAAAACGTCTAAAATAATTTTCTACCAACCCATCAACGCCCTCCAAATCCGAAGTCTTCATCTCTCTCTCTCTCTCTCTCTCACTCCCAAGTCTCAATCTTTTCTCATAAACCTCGGAATCACATCCAAAAGAAAAAAGTATGAAACTTTTCTCGAAGTGGGCCCATTTATTGTTCGGCGGTGACCACACTTGGGGTTATCATGTCACCGTTGGTTGAGTTAAGCATTTATAACATAATTTTCATATGGAAATTAATTAAAGGCATTAATACAAAGTAGATCCACCGGGAATTTTCCCAGTGTTCCCAACATCAGATTAAACTTTTACAAACTGAAAAATCATACACGTGAATAATAATGTTATTTCTCAATTGGATTTATTGCATTAATATTGGGGCCACTTCAGTTATGCAGGACTGTTCCTTCACTTCAGTCATGCAGGCTGCAGCCCAGACAGGTGGAATGTTATGTCAGTCTGTCAGAGATATGAAAATGTCAGTAATATAAAAAAAGAACCGCTATGGTGGATTTTTAGGGTACAAATTTGTCTACGAGTGCAATTATAGCCGTTAAATTGACGAGTTTATTTATAAATCAGAATTCATTGAAACTAACCCATCAGATAAAAATGTGGAAAACAGAAAGAATTTAAGAAACAATAACTCACTCAAGAAGAAAGTCACCAATCATCATGAGTATAAAAATGTGGGAAACATAGATGTGTATTGTTGTTCTGGCTTTAGCTAGTTTACAAGCCACCAGGGCATATCCATTTTGACAGTCGAATTCCTCTATCTGAACTCTTGACTGTAATTTTTCGCACAAAAATCATTACTAATTTACATCTCTTATAGTTATAGTTAATAAAATAATAATAAGAATCTTATTAGATGAGTAACAAACAAAATTAATTCATAATCAATTGTCACAATGTGGTGTGGAGGAGTGTTTGGAAGCGTTAACATAGTGTGGTAGGTGACAGATCCTTCATTCCTTTCTTCACTTGCCAACCTTAATCTGAAGGTTGCTCATCCCGACATTCACCTTCTCCATATTAGATTTATTTTTCATCTCAGTATGGCTCGAAGTACCGCGATTGAGCCACGGGTGTTGCAGGCACTGCTGAGCAGTTGGCCGCTTCTCCGGTGAGAAATCGAAAATGGGACAAAGGAATTCTGCAAATTCCCGAGCATCAGTCTCAGAAAATTTGTATCTATCAATCAGTATTTTATCAAGTGGCCAAAATTTCAGCCTTCGAATTCTTTTTAGATCCCCATGTCTGTCGAAGAAATCCTTGGAACGAGCTCCTGCAATTGCTATCTGAAAACCCAAGCATAAAAGAGAAATGGAATCAGACAAAGTTATAGGAGAACTATCCGAGTGCAATGAAGGATTAATATCTCACCTTTCGAGGCATCTTTCCAAGGAGTTCCATCATCAAAGCAAGGTGATCCTGAAATCAATCCAATGGATATTTCAATTGCAAAGCAGTAAAAAGAAGGCTGTGCGGGATAGAAAACTCTCCACATAACATGGCCAAATCACATAAAATTGAGAAACTGAGATTTAATATTGATTAACATGAAGAATTACGTTTGATTACAGAAACCTTATTAAAAATGTCAAATTGTTCATAGAGAAGAGAAAGTCCAGCCCAAATATTGTATCAAAAGGAGAAACGTTGGGGTTCCGGGTTCCCATTGTCCGACTTTAAAAAAGACAGATTATATATAACTTCATTTTCTATAAATAAAGTGGGCATGCTATAATAACATTATTCCCATTGTAAAAAAACTTAATCAAAATAGTGTAAAGGTGAAACCCATCTTTACCTCATCCTCACTAAAGCCTTGTCCCATCTTTGGAGCAAACAACATGTCACCAGTTGCAAGCTCGAAGGCAGTGCAAGCAAATGACCACATATCAACTGAGTAGGAATAACCAGATTGCAGTACAACTTCGGGAGCTCTATACTGCCTTGTTTGAATCTCTTCTGCGAGTTGCTTGTTAGCCCAACAGGCATTTCCGAAATCAACAACCTTGCACCTTACATCAATCCCATCCATGTTTCTTTCAGACTTCGGAGCTTCAACTCCTCCCATAGATTCTCTTCTCATGGAAATCTTAGCAACTGCCCGCCTTGCCCTCCTTTTCAACTTTTTCTCAATAAGATTCATGGTGGCTCCACCATTCAGGTTCCCTTCAGGCCTTTCAAGAATTGGGGTGAGGCTAGACCTGACTGGATCTTTGGCAGGATCAATGGTGGTAAATAGAAGAATGTTTTCAGGTTTTAGGTCAGTGTGAATGATACCAAGTTCTCTATGCAAATAATCCAGACCTATCAATATGCATTTGCAGATCTCCCTAACTTTATTCAATTTAAGGCCCTTGTAACGATTATATTTGATCAGCCGAAGTAAGCTATCACCAAGAAACTCAAGGACCATACACTGATGCTGCCCATTTGGGCCTGCGTGCTTAAAATGGTCTATCAGTCGCACAACACACTTGGAGTTTGTGGGGTCACCATCCGCAATATTAGAAAGAACTTCAATCTCATGAAGAGCAGCTTGAGCAAACTGTGCTGCGCTTTTCTGAATCTTAAGAGCCACATACGTCTAAGAAGTATAAAAGGGAAATAAGATGATGCAAAAGTCAGGTAACTGAAGCAAACATATTACTCTTCCTAAACAAAGAACGAGCCAAAAATCCAAGTATAGCATCAAAATCAAAAGAAATATCACGATTCACAATAGTAAAGATAATGTCTTGTTGATATAAATATCACTTCTTCGGATTATGTGTTAGCCAAAGGCGATCCAACATCACATGAAAACAATCAAACACAGAAGAGCCAAAAAGCTTGAAACTTACATAATACATCAATTAAAAATGCATGAATACAAGCCAATTCGAATAAATAAAGAAGATCTTGTCATAAAAGTATCAGAATCCACACACAAAAAAAATGCTAAAGTCAATTAAAAAAAGGGCAATCATGAATTAAAACCAATAAATCGAGAGATTTAAATAAAACCCAGTAAATATTTCATACCAATAAGTAGGTAAAAACAGATAAACAATAATGACACAAAGAAAATTAAAAAAGGGCGCGGCTTACAGAGGTGGTGGTGTCGTATGCGAGCCAGACGGTGGAGAACTGACCCCAACCTAGCTTCCTCTGAGCGACGTAGCGGCCGCCGGCGAACTGATCGCCGACCCTGACGGCATGGTAGCCTCCTTTTCTGTAGGAGTCGATGCCCTCATCGTCATCCTCTGACCCTGATGAAGATGAACACGACATGTCGTTGATCCAACTGGGTTTTGATTCTCTGATCTATTGGATTGGGTTTGTTGAATATGAATCTCACCAATGAAAAAGGTCCTTCCTTTTTCTCTGTTTTTGTTGATGAATGATGATTTGAAGTTTGATTTAGAAAAAGAAACAATTGTTGGGTAAAAAGCTAAAAATGGATGGATGGATGGATGGATGGATGTCGATGTTATTGTGTGTGAGGGGGGAAGGGGGAAGTTTCCTGTTTTATGCAGATTGGATTGATAAATGGATTGGATTTGATTTGAAATTGATGACTCTATTGCAATGAGAAAGGAGACTCACTCACTCTTCTCTCCTTTTTCTCTCTCTCTTTCTCTCGGTCTCAGATTAAATTGGGAGTTTGTGTGTCCTTCACCACAAAGCCTCTTCTCATGTCTCTCGTCTCTCCACTTTTTTCTATTTTGCTTTTCCTAGTTGCTTGCTATTGCTGGCCTTTTTCCCGGTGCAGCAAGTGGTGGGTCTTTCCGAGGAAAATGGTTGTTGTTTTTTTTTTCTTTTCTTTCTCATTTTGCCCTTCGTTTTGTGACAACTTGCAAAATGGGGATTTTGGGTTTTGTTTTTGGAAATTACTAGAAGATGAATATGAGGTGGCCATGGTTTTGGGGATTAAAGTGTTGTACTCATTAGGTGGAATGTGAAGTGATCGATTTCTTGGAGTTGGGAGAGGTTGATGGTTGATGGGTGTTAGCCACCTGCCCTTCACTCTTTAATTCTTTACGGGTTTTGTCTAACTAAACCATGAACGTATTCTCACATTGACAGTTTGTGCCTGAGAAAATCCCATCCTCCTTCTCTCTCCCCTTCCTAACTTTTGAAAAAAAAAAAAACAACTACGAGTAACTTGGGCGTTGCAAGTCCTTGTAAGGTTCTTGGCCTAACCTAACAAAGGAATAATAGAAGCACACAAATTTTGTTGGGTAATTAGAGGTGTAAAATATATAATGTCTTGTCATCACGGCCCATTTAGATTAGGTCATTACCGATACAAAGTTATCCTATAATGAGAGTCTTATATATGGCTTTTAAGTGAGACTTTATCTCTTAACCGTTGGATCAAACTAATTAATTTGATTATAATCCAATAATTAAGAGATAGAGCCTCACCTAAGGGTCATATATAAGGCCCTCACTATAGAATTCTTGTACTGACATGCTTTTGCATTGGAGAGAAACTTTCATGCACTGACTTTTACCGGAGATAGGAACTTATTTTTTGTGTCTTGATTTGTTCCAAGTGTACATTGGCATTAAAGGAGTGAGCTTGTTTTGGTTTTGCTCAAATCCAATCCACTGTTGTAAAGTAGTGACCAGCTTGTTTGAAAACTAAATAATTGAAATAATACACATGACAATAATATTATCAATAATGACCATATCACATATAATTTACACTAAAGTAAAAAACAACTGAAAATAATAATAAAGTATAATAAGATCCAAACCGTTACTTGCAATGGTTAAATTCGATTAGTGCATAAACGATTCATGAAGAAGATTAAAATAGGCACAATCACATGCTTTTGCATAACTTATTTTATGCATATGCCATGGGTTACATTACATCTTTCTCATTCCAACATGACACGGGTGTCCGTACAACCTTAACGAAAAAATGTTCATAAAGTTGTAGCCCCTGGGTGCCAAAAAGTTGAGTACTTCCAAGTTCTTCAATTTCTACATGAAAATGGACAAAGGTAGTGAGGAAGGTACACATTTTTCTAGACCCGTCTTTGATATCACCCAATCTCCAACACAATTTTGATTGATTTTCAAATAGAAGTTGAAAAGCTGACCATCGAAGTTGCAAGACTGAAATCTCAGAACGCAACCCACAAAATCAACTGAACAACACAAAAAGGAAAATATTACTTCTGACCAAAAAAAAGAGGAAAATATTACTCTACACATTAGGCCTTACAATTGGTGAAATAATTGGCAAACGTAGCAGTAGAATATAGTGAGACAGCAATCAAAATTTACTTGATCAACTGCCTAATCAAATCAGGCTTTGGGTGCAAGAATCTCTGCTATTGAAGACCAAGTTCCAGAGACTCCAATAACCACACCAAGAACCACAATAGCCCCATCCAAAAGCATCCCATGCCAACTGAGTTCTTCCTTGAACACCATCAAATGAAACAAAGCAGGCAACACAAAGCCCAGAGCAACACACACACTGCTCCCAACCAGCGACAAAAAGTCTGCAAAATTAGGCACCAAAAGAGCCACCAAGCTGACCACAAACACCATCACCCACCTCAGCCACAGGCAGTACGTAGAATCATTGAACCTTCTCTCCACCACTTCGAAAACAGGGTTCATCATCAATGGTAATGTGAAGAAGAGGTTAATGCAGAGACCCATCTGCACCAGAGTGCTCACTAAGCCTTGCCCAAAATTGGTGGTGATTATGTCTTTGGTATCTTCACCAAAAGCAAAGTAACCCAGAACTCCAAATGATCCATACAACAGAGCAATGAAAGCCATACACGAGGCCAAGACTTTACCAAACTTATCTTTGTCTTTAGCCTCTGATTCCAGTGGTAATATCATTCCAATTCCTTCAAAGGCATAAACAGCCACACCAAGACCATAGAAGAAAACAGAGAAGCCTCCAAAAGCCTGCAGAGCTGGCCTATTTTGCAGAAAAATCATAACATCCTCCACCATCACAACCCCCATAGCTCCAAGATCAACAACATCAGCGAAAATGCTCAAAGGGGCCAAATGGGTCAGCGTGGGAATCGAATTCAATCCCAGCTGAAATGGAAAACAAGCCCAAAGGTACAAGGATTTTGGGGCAAGACCCAGAATTCGATCTGGTCCAGAGTAGTTGATAACAAAAGCCAAAGTGTTTGATATAAAAATTAGATAGCTCACACAGAAACCAGCCTGAGCAAGCACGATCATGATGTCAACTGAGAGTCGTCCAATTGGGCCACACACAGCGAAGCCCAGGTCACCAAAAGATGCGATCTTTGAGAGGCCATGGACAGAATCGAGCTTGCGGCGAGTGTGAATTAAGAGCATCATACAGTGGTAGGTGAAGAAAGCCACAGAGAAGACCATGAGAGAGCCGAAGACCCATCCGGTTTTCTTGAAAGTGTACGGAAGACCCAGCACGCCTGAACCCACTATGGCTATGAAGACGTTGGCAAAGGTCTTTCCTTGGGATGAGAGCTTGCGAGGTCTGGCTAGAAGTGGAGTGTCTTCTCTAGGAAAAGGCGGGAGTGTTTGTGAGGATGAGCTCGCTTCTTTGTCAAACACCACCATGGTAGCTTTGTGCCTTTGGGTGGCGAATCTCAAGTTCCTAATTTTAATGAAGAAAAGAGAGAAATTGGGTTGCTGGGATTTGAGCTTTTGATTCTAAAGAAGTGAACTGAATTGAGAGAATGGATGAGATTTTGAGTTGATCGAGAGATTTTTTGGGGTATGATGGAATTGGGAAAGATGGGTTTGGGGATTGGGCTGCGGGTGGTGGCTGCTAGTCTATTTGTGCGAGTTATTTTGCAAGGGTCCAAGAAGCCAAATGAAAAAAAAAAGAAGCCAAATGAGAACCGGCATTTATCCAAGACCAGCATTAAAATATCTCCTAAAAAAATTGTTTCCTCAAAATTCAAGTTCCACCAAATCCAAATTTTCTTCTTTTATCAAGGAAATTGTAAACATATGGATATGGTTTTTCTCTTAGTTCTTGGATTTGATTTGATATTTGTTGCCAAGAATGCATTAATTTGAAACTCTTACCATCAATTTTATTTTGAGAGGAAATACAATCTAAATTGAAATAATATTACAGGTGTCTTTGAATGTTTGACTGCTGGTGTCCGTATACTCATAATTACTCTTGAGGTGGCAAGGTCGGTCACGCGGGTCCTCACATAACAATCAACAGGGCACACCAGCTCCAGACCACAACATATGAATTCTTCTACTCATCACCACATATTCAATATTGTATTCATTTTTATTTCTAGGACCTTTCTGATAAATTGACATAATTCATTTTAATTTTCTGATGAAGCCAAAACAAATGGCCTTTTCTTTGAAGGAACGACCTAAACCTAACTTCTTCTAATAAAGCCAAAACAACATGAGAGATGAGCCATCATCACAAGGTTAAAGGTTGCAACTTTTCAAAGGATTATTGTCAACAAAGAGCCATCTCCCTTGGCGACCAGAATCTAATTCAGTTCAGGTGTTAAACAATACACAGAACACGGGCTATTTGCAAGGGGCGTATTCTTGTTCTACAAGACTCTTAACCATTCTGTTGCTTAACACAGACGCAAAAGCAACGACTTCCCTCCTAAATAATGAGTAAATATTCCATTTTGTACCATTTGTGAAAACAAATGGCGCCCGAAGCTTCCTGCGAATCCGCCGGAGAAGTATAACAGCCTGTATTAGGTATTGAGGTGATGACAGATGAGATCCATAAACCTCTTTCAACTATGGTGGTTCAATTCACTACCAACTTTTGCTTGCACACAAAACCCATGATCTGAACATGAACATCAAATATTGATGCAACAGAAAGGTAACCATGACTAATTGTCTCATTCATCAGCCCGAAGACGTCATGAACATGCCCTTCTTGTTCATGGCAAAATTTAATCCACGGATGAAATGATCATAGACAAGGAGACCTGGAATTCCCCTTCCCCAACTCTCTGGTTATAACCTTCTTGTATCCTCAGTGGCACCCTCCTCAGAAATGCCCAACTAGTAAAAACCCTCCAAGTTCCTATTCTTATTAAAAGCTCAAATGCTTCATCGAATCAATTTTCCTCATCAGTAAAACCTCCAACTAGTAATAAAATCTGTTTCAGCTCAAGAGCTTAATCCCACATCACCAACTCAAAGTATCAGTCAGAGAGCTACTCCTGAACTCATTCCGGGAAACTACTTTTCCAACTTGGTCAATTAATAAACGTATTCAATCTAACACAACTATATTCAGAATGACATAAAAAAACAGAGAGAAAAAAACTCAATTCTGCATAGGATCCAAGTGCATTTACATTTGCAAGGTAAATTTTATATGGAACTTTTCAAGCAATCAACTTCAGCTGTGTCTTGTAAGAAAATACCAAATAATAAGAGAATTCATAAACAGAACAAGGCTAGTTTGATGAAGTGCAAGCCATCCTCATTTCTCATTAAAATTGAAAAGCTACTGCAAAATTCGTAAACAAGAAAAGCTACCCATATACACTAAGCTCATGAACAACACTGACAAAATCACTATGAAACTAACAAGTCACAAGCAAAACCTCTCAAACCAAACAAAAATCCAATCTTTCTCTCAAAACAACGATGATGGTTTCAAAATGTGACCTTTTCCCCCAAATCAATCCAAGTCCTTAACAATCTTAATCCCCATAGAATTAGCCGTACCAATAATGGACTTACAAATGGACTCCAAGGGCATGTACTGGCAATACGGGTCAGATTGCTTCACTTTGGCGATCTCATACAAGTGCCTCACAGACAGCTCAGAAGCGACCACGTGTTTGGGTCGGCTGCTGCCGGAGTCGACGCCGGTGGCCTTTTTCAGGTACCAGCTGACAGACGGTGACTTTACCGTGAACTCGTAGGTGTTGTCCTTGAAGACCGTCAGGGTCACCGCCATGGGTATGTCGGGTTTGAACTTTTGGGTCTGGGCGTTGAAGTCCTTGCAGAAGGCCATCATGTTCATCCTGTATTGACCCAAACCCTTGCTCAGCGGTTGGGGTGTGGCCGCTCCCGCAGGGGCTGTGACCCGGATCGTCGTCAGCACGGGTCGTCGGGTAAGAATCTCCTTCAGGGTTGACATGGCTTCGCTGCTCTCACTCTGATGAATGGTTTTTAGTTTTTGGGAGAGAGAGAGTGGCGTGGGTAGCAAGTACAAGGGCCGGGCGGAGAGTTCAATACAATAACAAGCCCAGTAATTACAGGTCCCGGCCCATGTCATCATCCTTACTTTTATATTTTTTATTTGAACAAATATATAAAAGTGACTAATAATAATAACTAATTTGTAAAGTCATGTTTCTTTAGGGGCTATGCTTTAATACATTTTACCAAGGATTAAGAAAAATGCAAGGGGATTGCAGTTCAAATTATTAAAAGCAATTATCTCTGCATCTGAAGTTCTTTGTTCAAATCCTCGAACCTCTAGTATCACTTTATATATAAAAAGTGTAGTCATTAAGAATCAAGATAAAATTTATACTGTAACAAAAAGGATATGATATGTTACTACAAGGCCTATTTTAAGATCATCTTATCCATAGTTAGTGTTTGATCTTATTTGTTCTAGCAATGTATTGCACCACCGAGGTCAATTGCCATACCTAGGTCCCTGATTTTCGTTTATCAATAAAGAGTAGTTTAGAGCATTATCTATTACTATGAGGCCATTACCCGAGTCTCTATTGTGCCATTTTGAGTTTTTACTTTTCCAAATTTATTACTTGTATAAAGAATTTAGCATTTTCATGTATAATACTCCTATTGTACATGTATGTACATATTTTTCATATTTTCATGTTCAATATTACACGCAAAATTCACGTATTATATGCAAAATTCACGTATTATACACAAAATTCACACATATTATTCAATAAAAATAAAATATATTAAAATATTTGAATACTAATTATTCAGTAAGTAAATAATAACTAGAACATAACTACTATTTAAAGTAATTTAAAAAGAGAAATTCAGATTACGCTATTAAATGGTATAGCTGTGTGGCTATATGTAAAAAAAAAAAATTTACAGAGTATAGCCGGCTATATTCCTTTCACAACAAATACACGCTGGGCCTTAGGCCCTAGACGACAGGCGGGACCCTTTTTTTTTTTTTCTAAATCGTATAGCCGCACGGATATACCTTGGAGTTTTTATTATAAAAACGTGTATAGCCGAACGGCTTTTCTGGAGCCAATTTTATTTTTTAAATAGTATAGCGAAATAGTCTATTTACAATTATGGTCTTAGAGGACAATCAAGAGCTGGTTCTATATCGTAGTACACAATGGGGAAATTACTCACGGGGATGGCTGATATCTTGTTAGCAGTCATGTTGGCTCAAATATGTTCCAGATTATGGAGGAAGACTCTAGGCAACACGAACACCAATCAAAAGAAGGAGACCACAGACTCTGCCAAAGCCCTATCATTGTCACATATAAATACACCACAACAATAAAATCTTTTTTTGTTTTTGTTTTTGAGGAAGACAGTAAAATCTTATTTGACATCAAAATAATCATCTTTACCCAATGTAATCAAAATTGACATCTATACGCGATTTCTCAAACTTACATCTATAAAAATACTAATATAAGAGTAACATGAAAATCACAATGAGTTATAGTTTATACCACAGTTAGGTAATACAAAAAAATATACATACGTACGTATCTGGAGGTGATTACCTTGACCTCCTTCCACTAGTGTTAACAAAAATACTGTAGCAAGATGAGATTAGGATAGAAAAATATATTTGGTTAACAAAAATGAAATTTTCGTGATTTTATTCACCATGAACCGATTCTTGAACGAGCTTTTCTAATCCACCCTTCGCAACATGACAAACTACAAAATAACATAAAACCAAAATATAACATTAAAACACACATACATAAAATTTGACAAACTCTGACCCCAAGGTATAAAGGAAAAAGACGTGAGAGTCACCAAAATCAAAGTCTATTTCGTCAGAATTGGCTATGTCTATTTTGAATTTGCCAGATTATGTGTTTTCCTTCTTTTGAGAGCTATCGATGTCGCCTATACTCTTCCTCCATAACTCCGAAAACATCTGAGCCAACAACAGATCAGCTATCCTAGTGAGTAATTGACCCGTTGTGGTAGTTTGATCCCAGAACCAGCTCCAGATTGTCCTTTTACCCAACTTCTCCCAACTCTTGTGTGTGGTTGGGCGTGAAGTGGAACCTACAGATCTTTTCATAGCTTGGGTTGGGGCATTACATACTTGAAATCTTCAGAGGATGAAGGCTCACCCAGATTACCAGTTATACCAATCTTATTTGACTGCATGAGCTCCTGAAGCAGTGTGTTGAATTTAAACCACATGTTACCTTCATTCTTTAAAGATCTGGAGGTGGTGGTTGATTTTATGTTAAAGTATGGAACGACCCAACGCAAGCTATGAAAAGATCTGCTGGTTCCACTTGTACGCCCAACCACACCCGAAAATTGGGAGAAGTGGGGTAAGAGGAGGACAATCTGGAGTTGGTTATGGGATCGAACTACTACAGCGGGTCAATTACTCACCAGGATAGCTGATCTGTGCAAAGAATACATCAAACACTAAACCACCAATTGACCAAAACATACATATTTATAAAGTTCAAAGCTTTCTCGCTTACTAGGCTTTCCAAAACATCTATATGCGTGACCTCCTCCCACCACCATGAGCCGATTCTTGAGCGAGCTGTGCTAAGCCACCATTCGCAATATGACGAACTACATAACATAAAACCAAAATGTAAAATCAAAATACACATACATACAAATTTGACCCAAGGCATAAAGGAAAAAGACTTACCAAAATCGAAGTCCATTTTGTCTGAATCGGCCTTGTCAATGTTGAATTTG